AGAAAGACCAACCCAAGACGAGACCAAGTGAATATGAAGTAGACATGGAATACATTTATACATTTATAATAACGTAGTATATAGTACAACAGCCAAGGAACCAGAAGACCAACTTGTTCAAGTAGAAGAAGAAGACCACGATCAAGACCAAGAAGAAGTAGACGAAGACGACGTCCACGCTGGCACCTAACTCAGCCAATCCCTCACCTTCTTCTAGCCCCACTCTTTTTATCCTTCGCGTACGATGTACATGTGTATTTAGGTGTTATTTTATTTGGTGCTCTTTCTTGGTGTCTGTGAAAGTTTGAGGCCCATCGACGACACAAGGCCCCCCTTTTGCCTACCATCACCGCTACTACTCTCCTTTTTTATCCTAATATTACCTTTTTTACTTATTTTTTACAGCTTTTGCGGTCTTTTTTCACATGCAATAAAATTATATTCTATTTTAGATGACCTTGATCGTAAATTAACCTTCCATTTTTAGGTAGATTTTTTGAAAATTTACTAGCCGGTCTCATGTTCTAATTTTAGAAAAATTTTGTAATAATATGCTTTATTTCATTGAGTAATGTCGAAAAATGGTATTGGCTCAAAAGTTTATATATGTGATATAACGCGCCATGTCAGCAGGATTGCGCACACAGTTCTCAACCGATTTTTATGAAATTTTGTGGGCTTATTCAGTGGATCAATACCACGATCAAGTTCAAAAATGAGCAAAATCGGCCGGTTACTTTACGAGTTGTGGGTGTTTGAAAATTTTTTTCATTTTCAAAAAATTTTGAATTTTGTATTTTTTATGAAAATACTCTTTCAGATATAAAAGATAGATAAAATCAATCAAATGTAAACTATTATTTGTCTAGTTTTTATGATTTTTTTAATTAACTCCTTGAATTTAAAAATTTTCAAAAATTTTTCAATCAACGTTTATTTCAGCGTTTGTTTTTTAAATAATTTATAAGACGTAAAAGATCGCTCGAATTTATTAAATTTATCTTAAAAATCACCTTCAATTTGAGCTATTATTCGTCACCTTTTGATACTTTTTTCAATTTATTTCGGAGTTTAGAAAATTAAAAATAAATTAATTTTTAGCTTTTATCATCAAATGACTTTCATCTGTTACAAATCCTATTTTTTAGGTAAATATCTTTGAATATCTATTTATTGTAGTCGGTCTCATATCATTATTTGCAAAAAAATAAATTTTAGGACATTATTGCCTTTAAATAACGTGTTTTTTTCTATAAGGCGTTTTTTTGTTTTTTGGTAATAAAGTCCTGTCTGTAATAATATAACTAGGGAGGAAAATTGTAAATATATATTACAAGTCATTCGGTCACTCAGTGAAAAGTGAAAAATCAAAACAGGTTTCTTAGAAATTTCTTCCTTTTTTTTCTACCTAGGTCCTAAATCTTTCTGTCTAGGGTAGAGCAGGTGTTTTCTACCATAATACACAGTTAGATCTATTTTTATCCTTAAACTTAACGTCCCATTTAACTTAAAAAATAATATATTTTTTAAACTACAAATTAAATATTATTTCTGGCGCAAATAATAATTTTTTGTAAGTATAATTTGTTTTTTAACAAACTAAATTTAATAACAGTTTATTTAGATGTTAAATTGCGACTTTAGCGGTAAAATTAAAAATATAAGAGAAAACTAAAGCATTTATAGTTGTTTTGTTTAGCAAACTTGTATTATATTAATTAAAAGTTATGCAAAAAAGGGAAAAACAATATTATATAGAGAAAAGTAAATTAGTATCTCCAGATTTAAAATTCCGATGGTTGATGGTATGAATGTTATATGTTATTTAGTTTTATAAATGTATGTGTATATGTATATATTGTATAGAGTCGTTCATATAATCCCGTGTTCTCGTGGGATCGTTTACGGCTCTCTTACAATCAGTGGTGTGCACACTCAGCCTGGTACAGCCAGGTACCGAATGCCACAAGGTCACTTGTAAGCGCACAGAAAACGCCGCGAGATCGCTGCGCCTTCCATCGAGACAACAATGTAACCTCTAGTAACTATAACGTAACATATAACATTATAAGATGCACATACAAATCTGCATTCTGCAGATGCCCAAGACTATTATTTTTATCAATCATCAATCATACTACAAATTATTACGTAAACATTTTATCAGTTTATTCAAATTGATTTTATATTATTTACAGTAACTTATTGAATTAATTTTCGAGATTTATTTTTATTGGATGTTATTATAGTACCGAGTTCCTTAAAAAAATATATCCCACAGATTTATAAACACCTGTGTTTAAATGGTACCAGAAAAATATGTTGACGTCATTTTACGACTGGTACGAGATGGTATTTCAAAAACATTTATGTTGAGAATTCGATAATCTTTAACTTTTAGTGATTGTTTTTAAAAAATTATTTTAGTATGTATTTTATTTTAAATGAATAATTTTTATATTTAAAAGGGAATAAATGTTTTTCATTCCTCAGCGTTTTGTTTCCGATAAAATATTTTTATTTTGTACGTTTTAAATAATGTTTATGAATTGTAATGACCAGTCAAGTATGTAATTATAGATAAGTCGTTGAAAGAATTATTATCGGTTATAGAAAAAAAAAAAAAAAAAAACAATTAAATAAATTCTTGGTAAGAATACACATTTTTATGGAGCTGTTATATAATTTGTCATTTAATATAAACAAACTAAAAAACTATAAATATTTATTTTATCAAATAAAGATTTATTATTTTAATTGGAGTTTAAATAATTGGTTGATTATTGGGCGGTAAAAAATATTTTTGCTAGAAATTTAAATTTAGCGCTAATAAGCGCGCGCCTTTTTATTTTAACCAATGAATTGTGTCCCGTTTTTTGCAAGTTTAAAGTATTGGATAACTTAGAATCTTTCGTGTACTTTTTATTTACAAGATAATTATTACAAATACTTACAGTCAAATTTCTGTAAAACTTCGTGGGTTCTTTTTAATTTTTTTGTTGATTTTTAGAAACTGGAGAAACTGGATTTTACTGCAGTACTGGATGTTGTTAAAATAAATACCGATAGCAAGTAGCTAATAGATGGCATGCTTTGTATTAAATTAAAAAGAGTTGCATAAAATTTGTACCATATTTAAAGTTGAATTATTTTTATTAAAATTTAATTAGCCGAAATTTGAAAATCTTTAGAATTTTTTTATTGAAAAAAATTATTAAAAGAAAAAATTTAACATGTATAAAATTTAAAAAATTCTGAGTGCTATTTTTTTTTACTTGTAATTTTTATTTTTATTTAAAAAATCAATTGCTAATTTTAGTATCATATTTTTTTTTAACTCTGCAAATCGTCTATTTTAATTTTGTAAGTGACATGATACTGAAATCAACAGACTTCTGTCAATGTTTTTTTTATTTTTATAACAATTCAATTATTATATATAAAAATTGCTCTTCTAGAAATTAAAAAGAATTACAAGTGCAAATTTTTAATAAAAAATTTTTTTTACAATTAATTTGTCAGGTGTTTACTAAATTAAAATATCATAAAGTAATTTATTAATTTATTATAAAGAAATTTTCATGTGTATTGGAGACATATACTACAGTAATAAATTGAAATTAATACTGATGCAGTTTAAAAAGAAGAAAATTAATCCATTGGTACATCTTATAAAAATAGTAAGGAACGCATTATAATTTTTATAATAAATCTGTAAAGAGAAATATATATTATAAATAAATATATATTTTATAAATGATAATAAAATGAGCCGATGTTCAACAATTTTTGATTTTTTTATCAATTAAATTAAAAGTAAAAAATATTTTTAAAAAATTGCACATATAACTTTTCAAATTTTCTAAATGTGAAATTTTTTTTTTTAATTTTATTGCAACAATTTTTTCAATAAAAATAATTATAAACATTTTCTCGGTATATTTTAATAATTGAATTTTTAAACATTTTCTAGTGATAAAAAGTCACATGGATGGTTATTGATGCCTAAACTAATTACAATAATAAATAATTAAAGTTTGATAAGAATTAATTTTACGTTTAATTGATAATTTAAAAATAAAATAAAATTTTAATGAAATCATTACAAATATACTAAACTTTTAAATTCAAATATTAAAGAAGACTTTAGTTCGACTTTCTCCGGAAGATTCCAATGGCGCGACGATCTTTTTCCATCCACTCTCAGCTCCGTGGTAATAACCACTGACTACAGTATATTTATTATTTTTTTGCATCCATAAACGATCCCCGTCCATGACGTAACGTAAGAAATTCTCAACCATCAAAACCAGGATAATTTTATAACAGTAGCCATTTTGTTTTCGCCTAAAGTTAATTGGGTAAGTACCAACGATAAATCCTTTTTATTTATAAATAAACTATTCTAAAGGATGAATAAAAACGTTTAGAATACCATTTTTTGAGGATTTATCAATATAATATACTTATAGTATGTGATAATGTTCATTTTTAACTGAAAATTTTTTACGCAGTATTCGCCTATTTTGTTCCATAGTATTGAATAAAAAAATTAATATTTATGACAATGGAATAAATAATGACGAATGATAATTTTGACTGATACTTGATAAAAATTTTAAGTTGTTTTTCAAAATTTATTTAATAAATAATGAAAAATAATTTTAAAAATTTTTATTGACATATTGATTGTATTAATGTATCCACTAACCTTGAACATTAAATTAAAAAATTATTTTTCATTTATAATCAAGGTTAAAAAAAAAATATCTCGCTCAATTAAAAAAAAAATCTCTTATTGTAATTATTAACAATAATAATTATAAAAAAATTCAATAGTGGCGTAGGGTATTGAAAGTAGGCTGTGTACTTATAGAAGGCAGTTTCTATCCTTGTAGGTAACCTGTCATCAGTTGAACTGGAGAGCAATCACGGCAACACCAGTCAATCGAGGGTGATAAAGAAAGAGACCGATTGATTGAGATAAAGTGTCAGTACTAATGGATTCAAGAAGATATGAACGTGGCAGAAACAGTGACTCGCCTCCTGAACCACCTTCGCCTCCCAGCTATAGCACCCAGTCCAGGATAGCTAGTGAGTTACCCACACAAAGAAGTTATAAAGTTAATTCACGACAATCACCTCACACTGAGTACAGTAGTAAATCATCAAGATCAGCGCAGGAATTATCTGCTGCGACTGGGCCGACTATCACCACTACGACTACGACCTCGACGACACCGTCGTCTTCCTCGTCATCTTCCCACGAGAAACGCCGAAGACGTCACAAACGGTCGCGCTCTAGCGACCGTTCACGCAAATACTCTCGACGGCGCAAGTCCAGGTCAAGCTCGCGACCCAGATCCAGGTCACGTGGCCCCAGGTCGAGATCAAGAGGCGCCAGGTCGAGATCACGTGGAGTTAAGTCTAGATCTCGCGAGCGCTATCGCCACAGTCGGAGTTACAGTCGTAGCCCGAGTCAACGCAGTCGGACCTATAGTCGCAGTCGCAGTCGCAGTCGCAGTCGTAGCAGAAGCAGAAGCAATGGTCAGAATAATAAAATTCGTGACTCAGGAAGAGACTCCAGGTACCGCGGTAACAGGCACTACCGTACGTCCTCGCACGACTCGGATTATATTCCTGATATAATTGATCAGCAGCAGCATCATCATCTTGGCTTTCCTCCGAGCCAGATTGTTCAGCCAATCATTCCTGTCCAGTCGAACGCTTTTAAGAACGACGGCAGCTTCATGGAGATGTTCAAGAAAATGCAGGAAAAAATGCAACCCGCTGCTGACAAGCCTGCTACTTCGTTACTTGAAGACAAACCTGTTGTCCCGCCGCCGCTGATGGTTGGAAAAAGACGCGGTGGAAGAATTCTTAAGACTGGGATGGTTGCTAAAGCTAAAACTGAACAGGTTGTCGAACAGCCGAAGGATGCTTGGTCGCTTTACATGGCAGAGGTTAAAAAATATCGCGAAGTTTGCTGCCAAGAGGAAGATAATACAAGACCTCTTGTAAAATAATTTTCTTCGGTTTTTTATTTAAGCATTTTCATTTAACATTAGTTTTATTATTTGACGTATTTTTAGTTTTTATTTTTTTAACACTTAAAGTGCGTTTATTTTTTTTTTTTTTTTTTTTTTTTTTTAAATTTATCAATAGACTTTCTTATGAAATTGAATGTTTGAATTAACATTTTAAAATATTATTTTAATAAACAATAAGAGATAATTATTTGATTGAGCGAAAGGTTATATATCTTTAAAAAATTTTCAGTTGAAAAATAAATAAATTAGAATGTTTTTAAGCGATTTATTGTTTGTCAATTAGAGTTATTATTTTTTTTTTTTTTTACTGTTATTACTTTTATTAATAAATTTAATTTGTATGGATAATGATTAAACAGATAGATAAATACAGCTACAATGGCTTACGGTGGAATTCCAAAAGATATTGAGAATTACATGTCAGCACCCTACGATCCGCGATTCCCGAACACAAATCAAACTAAGTAAATATTTTTAATGTTTTATAAAAAAAAAATCATTTATTAATTAGATAGCCACTGTGAGGATCGAAAAAATAGGTGATTTTCGGGAATTTTTTTGACTGGGATAAAAAAGGAATTTGGGGATCAGGTGTTTTTTGTTTTACAAAGTATACATTGAAGATTATTGTCCTAAATTTTTATTAAAAAATATCATGTTGTTACAAAGTTATAAGCATTTTTGTGGAGCATCAAAAAAATTTCCTCCACGGTGTGATCTCTAACTTAAAAATAGATTATCTAATTATTTTTTCGTTGTTTTTTCTCATTTTGCACGACTTATGATGCGAAGCATCAGAGAGTCCTTTACGATCAAAAAATTTGTTTTTCCTCAATTTCGCATTTAATTACACGATTGATAATCTACGTAGTCTAATTAATTTGCGCACCATTCGCTAGATAATTTAATGGAGATTAATTCTGTCACTGGTAAAATTCAATTTAAGATAATAGAACCAGAAAAAAATATCAAAATAGTTAAAAGAAAATTCGTGTCAATCAACTGAATTTTTCATTAAAAACTCGATAACTTGCTTAAAAATTCACAAATTCAATCAGTTTTTTTTAATAGCTTGGCATTCCCTTTGCGGAGATCTCTATTGAAGATGATAATCTTATTTAATGTTGTTTATTTGTTATTAACGAAAAACTAAAATTAATGAAAAAAATATACACGCAGTGCGCATGATCAGTTTAAAACACCGCACGAAAGTTGAAATGAAAAAATAAATAAAAAAAGAAATTGTATTTAAAAGTATTAAAAAAAAAAGTAATATTTAAATGAAAAAAAAAAAAAATTAAATTAAATTAAAAAAAAAATATTATTTCAGAACATTAGCTATTTTTTTTTATTTATTGAACGAATGAGCATTATGAGTCGTGCATTTTTGGATTTGCCAAAATTTTTTTTGGATTCAAACAGCCCTAAAAAATCTTAAAAATTAAAATTTTCAAAATCCCCTACGTGCAACGATAGCTACTGAATAGACGAATACGGGAAAAAAAGTTACAAATCGGTTCATATTTATGCAAATTGCAGTTTTCACGTTTAAAAAAAATAGTTTCTCGAAACTCGAAAAATATTCGGAATTTTCATATGAAACTCTAGATACATATTTTTAAATGTATATACTTTGATTTAAAAAAAAAAAAAAATTTTTTTTTTAATTTCACAGTGGCTATCCCCCTTAATTAATTTTATATTTATACTAATATTTGTTTGTTTTTATTTTTTATTTAAATAGGAACTGCTACCAAAACTTTATTGATTATCATCGATGCAAAAAAGTGCGTGGCGAAGATTTTGAAGCTTGTAAATATTTCAAACGCATCTACACAATTATTTGCCCAAATGCGTGGATCGAAAAATGGGACGAACAAATTGCAGAAGGAAGATTTGCTGGGAAAATTTAATAAGTTATTGTTAAGCAAGTCGATAATTATATTAACTTATATTCTCAGTTAGTTAATCTGTACATGGCAGACATAAATTATGAAAACCACTGCTACTTGTAAATCAATAATTATTAAATAAAAATGAAAATAAAATTTAAATAATTAAGGTAATTAACCGTTTCATTTTGTTACTTAGTGTAAAATAAATAATAATTTATTGCTGTGGAAATAAGCAGTTTAATTTGTTGCACAATATTTAAGCCTAATGTATTTTCGAAGTTATACTTAAGTTGTCGGTTGAGTCAAACGATTATAATATAAATAAGTGGAGTGAATTGTAGGATTAAATATAAGAGATTGTTAAATTGTAGATAATTTAAATGGTATCTCCGACTGCTATGTCTTGTTGACGCTTAGTCTTAGACAACTAGTGGCCTGTTTGCGGTCCCGGATAATATAAGTTGTAAAGAAAATTATATACGGCGAATGCGAAGTGAAACAGCTCAACTTGTTTCGCAGGTGAATTTTTTTTGCTTTATTTAATGTAGGCGTTAACATAATAACCCAAATGTGAGTTGATATTTTCTAACAGAGAAAGCTTACTTTTATTATTTTATTATTCTAAATAATACTCGAGTATATCAACTGATATTTATAAAATTAAACATGACAAGGGTGTATTAATAAGCGGCCTAATAATAATTAAAAGTATTTAAATACCGGCGAACTCTCTTGGAGTAAAAAAATTATCATAGAGAAATGCCATTACTGTTAACTGACAAGGGTGCGTCTGAGATGGTATAAATTAATTTCACGTTTCGCTACGCCCACAAATGTAACTTCTTTAGACACTATAACTATGCTTCTATGTATATTAATATTATGCATAATTTTCATTGACAACATGTGATTAATCTAGTCAGAATAAATTTTAATAATAACAATGATTATCCATTTCAATAAAAATAATTCAATCAAAATTTTATAATCACAAAAAAAAATTAAAATAAGAAGAAATAAAAAAGTTTATTTTTATTTCTTCTTCGATTGACGACGCGGTGGTCTAATTTTTATCATCGATCTCAATAAAAATAAATGAAAATTAATTTAGCAGATATTTGATAATTTTAAGAATTTTTTTAATAAATAAATTATGAAAAAAAAATAGAAAAAAAATTGACAGGTAGAAATTTTAAAAAATAAACAATGCAATTTTTTAAAAATAATTTTTTTGGAAAAAATCTATTTGTTAAAAAAAATTAAAAAGTGATCAAGTGATTGCTCACTTTAATGTCATTAAAAATAATTCAATCAAAATTTTATAATCACAAAAAAAAAATAAAATTAAATTAAAATAAGAAGAAATAAAAAATTTATTTTTATTTCTTCTTTAATTGACGACGAGGTGATCCAATTTTTATATTATGCATAATTTTCATTGACAACATGTGATTAATCTAGTCAGAATAAATTTTAATAATAACAATGATTATTAATCTCAATAAAAATAAATGAAAATTAATTTAGAAGATATTTGATAATTTAAAAAAATTTTTTAACAAATAAATTATGACAAAAAAAAAAAATTAACAGGTAGAAATTTTAAAAAATAAAAAATGCAATTTTTTAAAAATAATTTTTTTGGAAAAAATCTATTTGTTAAAAAAAATAGTCAAGTGACAGCTAACTTTAGTGTCATTAAAAATAATTTAATCAAAATTTCATAAACACAAAAAAAAAAAAATTAAATTAAATTAAAATAAGAAGAAATAAAAAAATTTATTTTTATTTCTTCTTCGATTGACGACGCGGTGATCCAATTTTTATATTATGCATAATTTTCATTGACAACATGAGATTAATCTAGTCAGAATAAATTGTAATAATAACAATGATTATCAATCTCAATAATAATAATTCAATCAAAATTTTATAATCACAAAAAAAATTAAATTAAATTAAAATAAGAAGAAATAAAAAAATGAATTTTATTTCTTCTTCGATTGACGACGCGGTGGTCCAATTTTTAATTCAAAGCAATAAATCATTAAGAGACACGAACGCGAAAAGATTTCGGAGGATGCGTTAAGTTTATAAATGCGTATTAATGGGCTAACGAACACCGGCGAGGAAGAAATAAAGAAGAGATATCATAAGAAATAAAAGATCGGTTAGATATGTTTAAGTGTAAGTGTAAATGTATTTGTATTTAAATCTGCGGTTGCTGATGTCGATGCTGGAGCTAAGCGCAAAAGCTGTGCAGTGTCACGTACACATCGTTATTATCAGTCAGGTTGGTTGAATCGTCGTAACAGACAGAAAAGCAAACCACCTGTCCCACTACTTTATTTCTCAGCTTACACGTTCATACATCTCTCGTATTTATATATACATGTATAAAATAACTCCTCTATACCGTATAGTACATACAGAAGCGTTCTTGTAGACACACAGCACACCAAGTGTACGAGGAACGGAGACCACGTCAAGAAACGAGTAAATCGCAGTTCAGTACCCCGTGCACACTCAACCTGATAGGACCGTTTGACAATCTGACACTATCATTAAATATATATTTTTTATTTCTTCCGAGCGCTTTTTCCGCGGATCCCCGTTCTTTCCGCGAGTCTCTCCTCCTTCTTTATTTAATACTAAGATTTTATTTTATTTTAGCCACCACAGAGCGCTAATTATTTAAATCTAACAAACACTATTATATCTATAAATGATAAATATCGTGCAAAATTAATGTTGAGATACTAATAGATATTTTAATTTAAATTTAGTATTATCAGTTAGTTTCACCTGATTTGATACAATGTCACGGGTGAGCATGCGCAGTTATTTAATATAGTTCTTAATAATAACGGTAAAATGTATCAGACTTGATGCTTACACCAGCAGCTTCTCTTGATTTTATTTTTGCGATAAATTATTTGGTGAAAGTTTTTTTTATTGTTTGTGGTATTTTTCTCTGTAGTGAAAAGTTCAAGTACGGCTCAATTACCGCTAAGGTAGTTTTAGTTTCATCAAGCCAAAAAATTAATAAAAAAGTTTATTGAAGAAAAAAAACTAAAGCAAATAAACTGTTTTAAGTGAGGAAGATCCGGTGATATGATATGGGATCTATTAGAGGCAAGAATTTACTTTAATTTATTATTTTATTCACTGCAATAGTCGATTTATTCTATGATAATATATTGAGTTACGTGTTGTATTTAATTACGATAAATTAAACGTGATATATCATAGATCTATTCCCTATTTTTTTTTTTGTAATGTTGCTATTATATCTACTCATTTTTTCGGCTTATTAACATTGTATCCTCATTAATTTACTATCGAAGATCGAACGTACACGCAGTATAGAAATATCCAGATACGTATTTTACAACATCGATAATTAATTCCTTCCATTGAACTATAATCATAGTTTTAGATAAGCTATCTTTAAAATATTTAAAAGTGTCTCTTTCGATTTAGAATAGCCAATATTTGCGATTAAACAACTAATTTATTATAGTCTGTTGTTTATCAATCAGCCTTTTTATTGCTTCATTAATTACCGAGGGT